ATATGAGCACCTCAATCTATTAATAACATTTTAAACATTTTCAAAGAAAGTGTGTTTTATGGCAATTAATGTATTCTGACCTCTTCAAACCCATCACTGACACCAGTTTCAGGTTTTTGCAGCCATACTTACGTACACGTGAATGGGATTGATTTGTGCAACTGGTAAATGCGATTCCCAAATTAAAGTTGCCTATCATCACCTTTTTTAACACTGTGATGAACTGACTGGATGGTTGGCTTTTAAATGGTAAACAATCTGGAACATTTCAAGTGGGAAATCAAGACGACCTAAGTATTCAGATGTTCCAATGATTTGTTTTAAAAACAACCAGATTTTATGTATCTTTTTTAAACGGTTAACAACCAATTTCTAAATGGAAGATGATCACAAAGTATTTTCCTCGGTAATAAGAGGCACCTATATCCGTAGTGATTTTCTCTGGCTTCTCTCTACCTATTATTACCAAATTTGGGACTCTGATATGTCATATCTTATGACACGGTTCTTGCTGAGGTGCTGCGCACTATGCAAAGTCATTGAATACATAAGTTCTGTCAAGGAAGTGTCATCAATAACAGATTGTGAAGTCCGGCATCCCTTACTGGTTGATGCATCTTACAAAGTAAAAACAATGCTCTTGAGATCTCACTTAAAATCAGAATTGCTTAAGTCGTGGCACCTTTTTCTTCAGCCAGGGTTTATCTTTGCCTTGTTCATGCACGAGCTTGTTGTCAGTTCTTTTGCATACATCACTAATGACAATGACCAAGACAGGCTGATACACGCAAATCAAACTTTGAAGAACTTTGAACTGTCTCTCTCTCTTTCTGACATGATTCATCTGAAAGCTTAACATGTACTGAGCTTTTCATGTCCATACAGATTTCTCTGTTGGTTCAAAAGATGATGACAACTGTGTAGAGATTTTCTCTATGCCCTTGTAGCTCCTTTTCTTTCTCTAAAAAGTGAGGTAGTGGTAATCAGGGTACAATCACTAGTTCTGGAGTGTATCTGAATTCTTTGCTAACTGGTGAATTTTGCAAGAACACGTTGTTATCCGCAGAAGTCCGTAATACATCTCTCCGTGTATTTACTTTTGCTGGTTTCTTTCCACTAAATTCAGCTGGCCTTAGAACCCGGAACATCTGAAAAAGGAAAGAGAAGTAAAAATTAAGCTAGATATCAAAAGAGTAGTCATTAAATAACAGATGACCAATTTTATAAGTTTTATTACAGATTGTGGTGAATTGCTCTCACAAATATGGCAAAAATAATAATTATTTGACTTTGGGGGTTTATCACTTATTCTGAGGGGGTTGAAACTTTTTATTGTTAACCCTGTAAGCCCTAAGTGTGATCATCAAAATTCTCCTTGTCATATTAATGCTTTACGAAACAGATTGGTGATGAGAGTTAAGGAGATGATCACACAAGACATAATGAGTTGATACTTCAACAACTTCTCTTCACTACTTTTATAGGAAATGTATAGGGACAGCACATGGGAATTTAAATTTTGATCTTAGGGCTTAAAGGGTTAACACCTCTTTTTGTCCTAATACATTAGCATATAGCTGCTGGCCATGTGAGTGAAACCACTTTTTTTTTTTGTTCCATGCTACAGAAACTGGGTACTATTAGAATAGTGATGGGGTGGGGGAGGGGGGTACAAAAACTATTTCATCCAAGGGGAAATTCTTATGAAAAAAAAATTCATGCATGCCGAGTAGCATTAGGCCATATTCTGATGCTGCTCCGCTTATGTGCCGCACCCAACTGATGAATTAAGCACAGCAAAAGGGTGGTGTCTGAAGCAATTTGGTACGACAGTTTTAGTTTTGTGCAGCAAAAGCATTAATAGTCTGTCAAACTTAACTTAGACTCGACACACAGTGCGCTGTCTGAATCAGATGTCGTGCCAGTGTGACTCTAAAGTCAAACTTATTCAATTCAGTTCGGCACATGGAAAGTAAAGCATCTGAAACAGGCCTTACAAAATATTCCTACACTGGTCTAAAAAATTTCATACAAGGGAAATGTTAAGAAAAAAAATTCACGTGCCTCGAAAATTCCCTATAACTTTTTGAATGGTCCCTCCCTAACCATTTTTTAGTGTTGGGTAATTTTATGACAATTGACTTATAATCCCTGGAAAAATAGGCAAAAAAGAGTACATATCAATAATTGGGACTTACCATATAAATAGCCATGACTGCTCCAAGGGCAAAACCTGCTGAAATATCGGTCCATGAATGCATATGTTCTCGCACTCTGTTCAGTCCAAAAAACAGTGACACCATAATACATCCACACTGAATGAATGGCTTTAGAAAGAATCCCTTGGTTTTAGACAAGAACAGTGTTTCAAAGTAAAGCTGCAAGAACAAACATCACAAGCACTAAGTATTGCATCTATTACTAACTACTGTAGAGTGCAAGTGTGACGAGAATTTTTTGTTTGACATGCTTCTTGCGCTGTGCATCAACCCTCCAAGTTGCGACCATTTTGGTCGCCATGGCGCAGCTGGTGACTTGATTTGTAAAAAAGTCTTCCTAAACCAAAAGGGTTAATTGCTAATTGGCGACTGAGCAAAACCTTTAACTTGGGGGGTTGTGTATGGATAAATCTTATTTATGTTTATGAGTCTCTTGTTGTTGATCCAAGGGTTTGTAAACTGCTACAACATAAGGAGCACATTTATGAGGGCATGTTTAATTTCCCAGTGTGTTTTCTTAACATGACATGCTTTTTATCAGTTTATGATGAACACTGATTAACTGAATATGTAGGCTGCCTCTTAATAGGTTTACATTGGGCACAAAATAATAACAAGCTGACAGAAAAAAATAGCTACTTACTGCTAAGAAGAACATGCCATACATGGTACCAGATGAATGTGCAGAAGGAAATGATCTCCTATAAAACAAATGTGTAACTTCAAATTAATCTACATTTATCAATGTGAAGTAAAAAAATCTGGGTGGATGGTGTAACATTATTAAAGCTATAAGTCAAAACTTTGCTATATTTTGGAAGAGGGAAAAATCTAACAAGAGAAAGCTCGAGAAAAAATTCCAAACTCCAGCTGAGAATCGAACTCACAATCCTCCGAGTCCTAGTTAAGATGTTCTAACCACTGAGCAACTGGGGGCTCTGTGGTGAGACGGGTTGAAATTTATTTTGGCTCATGTAAATATTATTACAATTACACCAGCCATATGACACATAGAGTGGGCCAAGGCAAAACCTGGATCAGACTGAACTTAATCAACCCAGCCCTTAACCATATCCATAACCTTTTGTAGGGGTTAATTTGATTCCAATGCAATCCAGGTTTAATTTACAAGTGTGTGGATGTGACTTAAGCTCTTAGTGTAACTCAACCCATTTCCTGCCAATTAANAACTGAATATGTAGGCTGCCTCTTAATAGGTTTACATTGGGCACAAAATAATAACAAGCTGACAGAAAAAAATAGCTACTTACTGCTAAGAAGAACATGCCATACATGGTACCAGATGAATGTGCAGAAGGAAATGATCTCCTATAAAACAAATGTGTAACTTCAAATTAATCTACATTTATCAATGTGAAGTAAAAAAATCTGGGTGGATGGTGTAACATTATTAAAGCTATAAGTCAAAACTTTGCTATATTTTGGAAGAGGGAAAAATCTAACAAGAGAAAGCTCGAGAAAAAATTCCAAACTCCAGCTGAGAATCGAACTCACAATCCTCCGAGTCCTAGTTAAGATGTTCTAACCACTGAGCAACTGGGGGCTCTGTGGTGAGACGGGTTGAAATTTATTTTGGCTCATGTAAATATTATTACAATTACACCAGCCATATGACACATAGAGTGGGCCAAGGCAAAACCTGGATCAGACTGAACTTAATCAACCCAGCCCTTAACCATATCCATAACCTTTTGTAGGGGTTAATTTGATTCCAATGCAATCCAGGTTTAATTTACAAGTGTGTGGATGTGACTTAAGCTCTTAGTGTAACTCAACCCATTTCCTGCCAATTAAACCCAGTGTATATCATAAACCCTGTTCACGGACCCACTTAAGAACATGAGAATGTAACAGAAAAGCACATTTTGATTCCTTTTGTGATTGCACTAATAGTACATGGACAATCATGTACATATTCATTATGGTTGATTCATGACCATTATCCTTCAAGTATCTAATGATTGTTATCATCTGTTTTCCTTTAATATTGTTTGGCAGCTGCTTCCTCAAGAGGCCATTTTCTATATTTCTTAAGAAGTTCTTGAGGTGCTGATATAGATAGTTTTGCTTTTTATCACACGTTTTGCAATCACAGAACCTTTTGCACGTGCCTTCATGATGTTTTTTTTTTTAAAGATTTTTGATACTTAAAATGAAAGATAAAGTGAAATCAAGAGGCAGCTCTTTGGACAATGTCTCACTTTCAACTTTCCATATGACTGTACTCCACTCAGATCTGACTTATCAAGCTCACAAAATGAAACAATATTTTGCTATATATTTAATTTTCATTTTATTATTTTCTTTTTTTGTAACTCGGTAATTGTAGGGAAATTTAATTTTCTAACTAAAAAAAATAATCAGTGTGAAGACATATGCACACATACTTTAATTTCCTTGGCTAGTTAGTTGACCAAAGGTTTTCCAATATGTTTCAAGGGTGAATATTAATTAACTTGCATGTATAAGTTTCACACCAACCTGGCTCTTTCAATTGCAGCCTCATCTGTGCCAGTGCAGACATAGTTTGTGATGTACCCGTCACTACAGTTAATCAAGCTCATGTTTGGTTTGCACACAGCTAAGAAGTGGGGTCTCAGTTGGCCAACATATATTTTGATAAACAGGGTAAATAATAGGTTGACCAGAGTACCATATAGGAATACATAGATTATTTTAAAAACCCTGGAGAGAAAAGAAAAATCTGCAGTTAGCATTGTTGCAGTTGAAATAACTAGAAGCCTGCAGCATTCGATAATGTCAGAATAGACCAAGCAAGATAATATGGGCTATACTTGAATATACAAACTTATATTGATGATGATAATAATGAAAATAGTAATAAAATTGAATTATTATTATTATTGTTATTATTATTATTATCATCATCATCATCATCATCATCATCATCATCATTATTATTATTATTATGTTAAAAAAAGTGTTGAATTTTATGGTCAAAGCCCTTTAAAATGAATGTGCAAAATTTAAACTCAGGTTTTAAAATTTTGGAGGGATTTATGTGGTAAAAGATAATCTTTTATCAAAGCCTGAGAGTTGTACATAGTCTACATAACACGTCCAAACATCTTTTTACCAATAGTCTGTTTTTAAGTTAAGATAGTAGGTCATAAAGTATGTAAAAGAAAATGTTACATGGGCTATAGCTAGTCTAGGTCTCCTGGAAGATTGTTTTGTATGTCCCGGACATAACCACCATGCTTAATTGCCTGACTGCTAAGTTTACAACTAACAAAGTTGCATGACAAAATAAAAATTGATGCAACCACAGACAAGACATGACAATTAGTGTTTAACAAGGTTTTATTAACAGCTTAAAGGGTCAGACGTACAAATCCCTATTAACTGAAAGTCAGCATGCCACAAGGTACTTTTAATTTAAACTGACCAATCAAAGGAAAAGCCGTTAATGGATTAACTAGCCAAATCACGAACGTTCACTTATACGTTTCAGAATCACTGTGCTCCCGTTAAAAATGAATTTCGGCAGATGCTTTGTACAAGTATCGATTTTTTTTTTAATCAGACTGCTAGTTGCTTTATCAAATTAAGAGCTTCGTTTAGAAAGAAGAACAATTGTGTGTGGTTTTATTAATTTACAAGCGGTTCCAAATAAACAGGATCATCCTGAAATATTTTATAGGCTGCACATTGGTCAAGACTTTCATTACCTCTGGAATACTGGTTTTTTGGTGTAAGGTCCACAAAGTAAGTTTTCATCACCGTCTTGGCTATATTGTTGTCTTGCAAGGTCACCGTTGTACCAGTGTTTTCCAACTTCACAACTGATGATCTAAAAATATTGACATTAAGTAGGCATTAGTTATCATTTTATAATTGTTAACACTAAGGTGAACAAATCACTCACAACATTTTCTGTTGCATGAAGTTTCTAGAAACCTGGAACATCTAACCGTCATGGTGTTTTCAGAGACCTGTTTATTTTTGGATGCATTCTGGATCATTTTTTCTCATACATGTAGTAGTCTGAATTTAATGGATCAGTTTAAAAATAGACATGTCTGTGGAAACACTGCAACAGAATACGTGGCTACTGAACTGCTCTACAGACAAATGGCAATGTGTTCATGTGAAACTTTGTGTGTCCCTATTCCCTTGCACTGGGTGGTATAACCTTATGGCTGCATACAGCATTATGGTGCTGATATTTAATACTTGCAAGCTAACCCTAGATCAGGCTCTGTTTTTTATTTTGCTTGGTAAACATAATCCTAGCAGGCAAGATGAAATGAAAACAAGCCCACTTTTAGCACAACTGCTTTGTAAAAGAGCATGCTTGAAAGCTGAGATGCCTTCAAGCAAGCTCTCAGTAGGGAGTTACAAAGTCCAAGGTTGCTCTTTCTAAAATGACCTCTTAGACCTCAATACGAGCAGGCAGGCAGTCTTAGGACTGCACCATCTCCTATATTTAAATTTACAGTGCCTCCTGCCAGCCACATGTTCCTCCCTAGTTTGGTCATAGATTAAGCTGGGAACGATAAAATAGTTCGGCAGTATAGGTTGATAAATTTTTAGAATCCTCTTCTCAATAGCTTTCAGCAAAGAAAACCAGGTAAAAGTAAAGAAGTTTTAATTATTGCCTCACTTAAGTGTGAAACATTTATTGCTCACTGTCTTGTATGTAATACAGAATTTCTTTTTTCCACCCAATTCACTTAGTTGTCACTCCAAAACACTTGCTGTACTTGTCTGATTCATAATTTAAAGTGAAGTCACTCTTAACAATATAAAGTTCTAAGTCTTAATGATGCAAGTAAGCCCTTGCAATCACCGTCACACTATATTTTTATTTCTTTTGGGAAGCCTGTCATTAACTGGACCTAATTTCTTTCTTTCATTATTTTTCATTTCAGTTAAACCACTCAAATATTTATTGAGGGCTTCTATGCTCAGCCACTTATTCACAATATTAAATCAAGTCTTCTAAACAAGTTGCTAATCACGGAAAGAAAATTCTATTTCAGGCATCAAGGGTAAACAAAATTGACCAGTAATGTACCAATGGAAATATATCTCAAACATGGCAGAATATACATGTATAACAGATTTGACAGATCTGTAAGTATTTATAGATATGTAAACTTTTACCACCTCATGGATGGAATTGTTTTTTATCTTTCTAAATACTTTCTGAGCATTTCTAAGTTTTAACATACCATGGTGTTGTGACAAAAAGGAATTTTAATGAGAATTAAAGTGTATTCAACAAAAAATGTTTAGCTCTGTGAAATCTTTGAAAATATGTTGGATGAAGAAAATAATCTATTTGAGTTATGGACTAAAATTTTTTAACACCACTGAACTATGTAATAAAACATAATGTGAAGACTACATGTACAGAAGGAAATAGTTGTTAAGCCAATTTTAAAATTTAATTATGGAAAAAGACTTGCTTGTTTGTATCAGTATATTAAAGGCTTGTTCAGGAAGTAATAAAACTTGTTCAAAGTTTTAAATTTAGAAATATTTAAGTGGCTTAAATTTAGAGGTCACTAAATCTTCCAGCAAATAAGTTTTAGTTAATTAATTCTTGGACATAAATATAGTAAGTTATCTTTAGGGACCAGATTTAAGGGGTGTGTTAGTGCCAAGCCATTCTACCAGTTATCTCTATCATGTGATCTGTAAATTTATCATTCCCAGACACCCAAGATAACACGAGATATGTTTATCTGCACTTTTAAGAAGAGCCGCTCAAAGGGATTAAATTCATAACATGAAAGCTTCCAATAAACACATTTTTTTTTAAAAAACACTCACATAAAAAAGATCAACTGCTAATAAGAAGGGGGGAGGGGGTGGGGTACTTTAATACAGGGACAGACGCCAAAGGAGTGTTGAAATTTTGTATAAAGATTTTCCAACTATATTCAGCAAGATATATTGCTCATGAAAAGCCTCATTGCGATAAAAGACCCCTGGCCTATATATTTCAAGCCTGCAGCCAGTATTTTCTTTGCGTGATTTTTATCGGAAACCGCTCATAAATAAATTAAGGTCGTTGAGGTAATACACACCGGATTTCATTTAATATTGAAGCAGCGTTAACGTTCAAAAAACACGTACTACGCATCCGAGGATCAAAAATCGGAAAAAAAAGAAGTTTTTAATGTAATTGGAAAAGCTTACGTCCATGAAAATCAAAGTAATCCATCAATCGGAAAAGAAACAAAAGGTCTTTCTAGTGCGGGAATAGTTAGTTTGATAACCATATTCTGCAAAATATTTATCTTTCCAGTTCAATTTCGTGTTTACAAACTTTTTATTGGCTTTCTATCACTATATCCAAAAACTACGTCACCTTTCAAGACAGCGACCTATGGAATGAAAACACTAGCCAAGGCAGGAAATATGTTTTCTATTACCCTGTTGAAAGCTAGGGTTCTAGATTTTCAACAGAAAGTTTTTGTAGGATCCAACTGTGTTCAAACAAAATCAGAAACATTTCACAGCATGAATAAAGATATACGCTAGCTTAAGTCAGCAAACGAGATCAATTCATTGGAATATAGGAACTGATTTATTCGGTAGAACGTTGTTGATGTTGTTGAAACAAAAGTGGAGCAACAATTACAATGAAAGGCATGTATTAGAAATGCCACCTCTTTACGCTCCCACGCAATTACGTCTTTCCCAGAAGACACCCTTCTGCGAGAAATGTTCGTACGCGGGCGCGTTGAGAAACGTACGCTTAATGAGGCTATTTTCAAACAAGAATAAACGAGCAACTTACCACCGAAACTGGCACGATCACCGACACAATGATTACCACCCAATTTGGAAGGCTCTCCTTGCTGCTGTACGGGTATTCGATACTATCGTCATTACAGAAAAATCCGCGGCGATAGGGAGGAATGACCAGACCCAAAAGAGCGTTTATGAGCCCGATGATCAATAGACAGGCCAGATCAGCAACTTGAAAAAGCTTAGCGGAAGACATTGTAGCTACTCCTAAACGGCGTCCTGATTGTTGTTGCTAATACAAGCGCACAGAAGTTCTTATAGTGCTTCGGACGTGGATCAATGAGTGTAATTCCTACACCTCTTTGACCTTTTACGCAATGATTGACTGCGGCTGAGCGCTAAGCAAATACGTTTATCTGAAAGCTTGTTATGTAAGATTACCCAGAACCTCCCTCGGGCGCAGGAAGACGACACCAACGTAGAAAATCTAGGAGGGCTAACTATGTTGCATTTAGGAGTGGGGTGGGGGAGGGGGGAATTAATCTCCCGCTTTAAAAATCTACATCTGTTTCCATCCACCTTAGCTATTGATGTCCTTCGTTTTACTATATTTCGTGTAAAATTTGTCCAACGATCAGAGAGAAACGCGAATGAATTGAAAAAGACAGCTTGATTTGCAATGTTTTATGTTAGACTAATAACGCCCCCCTCCGGAGCTTTTGAACCCATCTGAAATGACAGGCGAAAAACGCAAGGTCAAATTACTGCGGGTGATTTATTTTTTCAAGCTGCTTGTCAAACAGTAAATCGAGATTCATTAATGCAACAATAAATTCCGGAACTGCTGATGGGAAAAATTAGAACTTTAGTTGATTCGCTTGAAAAAGAAGAAAAAAATAGCAACAGCATAATAGAATTTACCGGAAACCTATAGCCTCTGATATCAGGTCATCTCACCGGATATGAGATGAAATCTGCTGGGGTTTTCTCGATCTCTGAAGTGATGTGTTTCTTAGCAATTGGATCAGTGTTTCTTTAAGACCTTTTCTTGTTTCGTATGTTTGCAAAGATTTCAAGTCTTATTATACCCAGATATAATTTGAACTTTTCCGGATTAAGCCCTGCTCTCGCAAAACCTTATCCGGTGCAAATTTGACATTTATATTGAATCCCAAAAGATAACATTTACCGAATATACGAACACAAACATCAAAACACGAAAGTTGTGATACAATAGCTTTTTATCTCGTTGGTCACGTGCTCTCGACGGTCAAGTTCCTTGATAAGTGTTTTTTTGTGTGGTAACTCTACAGGAAATTGCTGTTTCTTTTACGGGTTGGAACACAAAAGTGGCGACGATGTTGTGATAAAGACATGGTTAAAAGCCTTGCCAATCCTAAAAGCGTGCCAGCAATTTGAAAAAGTTAATGATGAATCCAAGAGTTCAAGAAAAATTTTCTGAACTATTCTAAGATAAACAACACCACACGAAACGGGCATTAAAAGGCTTGAAAGCTACGATCAGTCACCTTGTACAACAAAGTAGGCTGGAAAACAGGAAAGCAGTGCTCGAAAGCTTTCGTTTGAGAAAAAGTTAGTTTTTTAAGATTTCCGATCAACAGGCTAAAAAGGTAGAAATCTCTTGTTATAGGCCTTGAAAACATTTTCACAGGAAAGAATTTCTTTTTTCGCACCAGAAGATTAAACTTAGATTCTGTCTGAGAGATGGAATGACCAAAAGAGGATTTAAATTCTAATGCTACTTGTAAGAAAATACAACATTCACGTCGTTCTAAACGCCCTTTAATAGTAGATTCAGTGATAGCTTAGTGAAATTAGCCAACAGGGATGACAACAAAGGCTTCTTTCTACATTTAAGGCTCAGCGCTACTAAAAATTAAGAGAAAATCTGCCCTTAGAAGTTAGGTTTATTTCTCTTTGCCCATGGACAAACACACGTAGGCCTCTAAGTGCTGTCGTGATGCTTTTCAAGTGGGCATTTAGTTTCTATGAAAATAAAGATAGTTAAATACTACAATAGCTCTAAAGTAATCGGTACCTAGGCCTTGATCTAAAAAACAGACGTATCGAGACGCATAAACGCTGTGCTTTAGTTACGCAGAGAGATACTCCATTCAATCTAAACAAATTAAATTTATTGAAATAACTTGTAACTCTTCGGTACATTTATATATTTACCATAATTTGAATAAACTTTTTCTCAGCAATAAATCATTCCTTACGACTTGTACTTCGTCGTTGATTAATTATATTGGACCTGGTTGTAAAAGTCTTAAGCTCGACCCTCTCTGATCTGTTTTACGTTTAACTCATCTCTGTTTCCTCCCAAGGCTTCTTACCTATGTCCCCGGCGGCCGATATTAAGAGCATTACACTTATAAACCGTGTTGTCTTATTTTCTGACTGTTCAAAATTCTATCAAGACTAGTTAAGACTGAACCGACGAAACTAAGAACTTATTTCTTAACGGTTGATCTAAACTCATAAACACTTCATTCTTGGAAAGTTCTGCACGATACAATCTTTGAGTGGTTTCTGATGTCGTTTATTAAGACTTTTAGAACACTCAATCACCGTAAATTAAAGAGAATGTCAAGTTAACTTTTGAACGTGAATAATGTCAAGTTAAAATGCCAATCAACAGCTTTCATTTTTTTTAGAGGTGTTTCCTCGAAAGAGTTTCGTCCACAGACTCAAAAGTGAGTATTACGTCTGTCCATGGTGGCTTTTGGGAGTGACAGTATTGAGATTTCATTTGCTTTATTAAGTCGGTGTAAGTTTAGAACCAACTTTCATCATAAAGCGCAGGTCGCTATCCACGATACACAGCTAGTTCATTCAAACGGATATGGTGTAGAAAAGGAAACTTAACTACGCCATAGTCGTTCCAGTCAAATGACTACACCTTTATTTACAGGAATAAAAATTTGTCAACACATCGCCAACCGGTTACTGTACAGTGCCCCTCCCTACCTCCTACCCTGTGAAGTCACGTTTGGGCTTCTGGGAGGCGATGAAGCTGCAGTTACGACAAACTTAAACATGCGACAAGTGCGCAAGACAGGCTCTCCTCAAGAAATGACGGGTGATGCCTTTTTTAAAAGAGTGTGTATTGACAGCACCACAGAGCTGAGTCACAGCTACCGCCCATAGCTTTCGTAACTGAACAGTCACACCCACTCCGTAAGGGAAATTAAACAGGGACATACGTAAAGTAATCAATGGCTATCATTTGAATGGCAACCGTGGTACTTTTTAAAGACTTTATGGGATGTCATCCACAGACTCTACTGACCCTCAGTAAGTTGTAGACCAAAATAAACCTGCCTGCTCAGTAAAATACCCCTTATTTGGATAGAACTCAACTGAAGGATTTCATTGACAGGCTCAAATCAGTTTATAGCGATCGTGTCTGTTTGGCATACCGAGCATGTACAGACATCATCGCAAGAAAGGAGTACCTTTCAGTGGGAAGTCGAGAGCGGACCTATCATGACGTAATCGGCCGGCTGAAGGTCTGTAATTAGATTTGGAACTGCATCAAGTACATACGGTCAACTCCCATCATTTTTAATGGAGCACGTTAGCGGAAAGTAATAGAAATTAGAGGGCAAGTTGAGTACCATCGTAATCTGCTATTTAGAAAGAAGATTTCTTGAGCATTTTACTTTCTATCATCCTTGTTCGTGAACTTCTATAGTAGACTGTGTCCGAAGACGAAGAAAAAGAAGGAAAACAATAACTGCAACGACATTGTCATGAAAGATCAGGACTTAGAGGTAGTTGGTTTCTTGCCCTCCTCCTATATATAGGTTTCACTGGAGATAAAGGTCAGAAAAAGAGGAAAAAACACTTTGAATGGCCTGCATGTAGTTTACGCCTCAGGGGAGTGAATCAGGATTGTTTTTACCGGGTTTTTAACCCTGGACAACATCGGGGAAACGACACATGCCAGATTAGCAGTGGTTTTAGAGAGATTTCCCCAAGACAAGAGTTTGATGACCCGGAATAACACTTTGAATTTATGAATTGCCTCTTTAATCTTTGTACCGTTGCACCAGTTTTCAAACGCGTAAATCAGCGGTCAAAACAGTTAAAGGTGAAAAAGCTATATTCAATCTTGTATGTGGGGCACGCTTGGAAGACAATCTCTCATCTAAGATATTGAGTTTTCTCGGCTTATGTCCCACAATCAAATAATCTGTAGTTTTTCACAGAGAGGAAGTCAGTCTTGTAGTTGTGGTCGTTGGTTCATTGAATTTCCGACAGCCCACGTTTGTCATCGGAGGATAATGGCAAGCCCACCCAAAGGAAAAAGTAACTTACAGGTAAACATCTGTCTTTAAAAAAAGCTAAATGGAAAAATACAGGCAAACCACAGACTTGTTTTTAAAAGAAGTGAACTAAAAGACGTTATCCATCACCATGGATACGGCTTATGATGAGCCGGGTCACGCGATTTTATTCACCCGATCGCGCGAGTTAGTCGTCTCTTGTAGCGATGAAATGTTAGAAGTAGTTTACATGAGTTCTATTCTTTGTAAAAATCAAACCCATTGTTCAAAACTGTTCATGATGTGATTATCAAGGGCACAAAAGGTTGGACTACCGTTCTAGACTGAGAGGGGAATAACATCGTTTGAAAATACCGCTCACTCTGGTTCTGTGGCTTTCATTTCAGTCATCACGCATGAAGGTTTTATCTACACACTCAAAAGTTCGAACCTCTCTTGTACAGCATAATAAACAGCACCATTGAAAAGTACCGCTCAGATACTTTCATTTGAATGGTCACACTCGTTAGGATTTCNTGAAATGTTAGAAGTAGTTTACATGAGTTCTATTCTTTGTAAAAATCAAACCCATTGTTCAAAACTGTTCATGATGTGATTATCAAGGGCACAAAAGGTTGGACTACCGTTCTAGACTGAGAGGGGAATAATATCGTTTGAAAATACCGCTCACTCTGGTTCTGTGGCTTTCATTTCAGTCATCACGCATGAAGGTTTTATCTACAGACTCAAAAGTTCGAACCTCTCTTGTACAGCATAATTAACAGCACCATTGAAAAGTACTGCTCAGATACTTTCATTTGAATGGTCACACTCGTTAGTATTTCATCCACAGACTCAAATCTTAGTGACCCCCCCCCCTCCCTTACAGGTAGAAACACAATCCCCTCCCCCCCATTCCCCGCAACACGCACACACACTAGACGCGACACAATGTGAGCTT